ATTGCCAGCAGAAACATCTAGGGAGAAAAGAATATAGGAAAACATGTGAAAAAATTATTTTTAAATTGTATATCATTTTTGACAAAATATCTTCCTCCACAAGACAAATTATCTGCAACTTAAACAACCCTTGAATTCACAAGGAACTTTTTATGTGGTTTGTTCTTCTGGTCTTTCATGCCATGGTCTCTCTTTGAAAACTCTGAGACTAATTAATTAGTGATATTGAATTTTGTATGTAGTTGTAGCCTCCTTATTTTATAGGCATATCTTTGACATATATAGAAACAATTAGTCATTTTAAATAAGATATGGCTAATGATTTAAACAGATCTTCAGCATTACAATGCTATCTGTAGTACAAAACAACATATATATGTTAATGAAAAAAAGGAATGTATTGTAGCATTACACAAAATATTATTTTTGTAGAAATTTTACTCAAGGTCTTTCTTATCCAAAGTAATATGTAAATTATACATTAGATTACTGCTCACTGACAGGTAGTTTATTTACATTTTAATATCAAACTATAAAATGTTTCTAAATTAAACAAGTACTTGCTATGATAAACAAATACGAACAATAAATTTGCATACATTGAATCACTTCCTCTATATTGATATAGTTCCAGAGAACAGTCAGGTTGATGCAATCAGTAACAAAAATCAAGGACAATTTAACAAATAGAATTGTTGTGATGAATAGGAGCTAGTATGGTTTTACTAAATATCTGAGAAGTTAAATTTTTGACAGTTTCATTAAATTGGAAAGAAAAAGAGAGAATTTAAAAGTAAGGGATTTGAAAAAGGAGCATTGCGTACTGGGCAATAGTATAGTTAGGTGGATTAATTACTGCTTCAAAATCAATAAATTAGAGATAAATAGATTTAGGTCAATCTGAATGGTGTTCTCCAATCCTATGCCATAGGGCTTTTTTCTTGGCCCTATTTAAAGATATTTTCTAGTGACACTTCCATCCTAGGAGACCATTCAACCTAATCTTTAGCCAGCACACTCAAATCCCTAAAATCCTTAGCCCTCCACCTTCCACACTCCCAATCTTGAATCAACTCCACAACTTATACTGAACCTTGTACAGTCCTTTCACAATTATTCAGTCTTTTCTGTTTTTCAGTGTCCAACCTAGCCATGTGCTCTTTATGATCAGCAAATGATCTCAGCAACTTCATCTTCTAATGTACCTCTATCCTTGCCTCCCTAATTTCCCTCCCATCTTAGAAGAATAGGTGCCCTTTCCCTTGTAGAGTAAAATCCCTCCACCCATGCTCTTGAATCCATTCTTCCTATTTCTGAGTTCCTGATTTATCAATTATTACCTTCCTCCTCTATGTTCAACCTCATACTATTTATTGCCTCTTTCCCCTCTAGCTTATAAATACATTCAAGATATTTCTCTGTGTGTGTGTGTGTGTGTGTGTGTGTGTGTGTGTGTGTGTGTTTGGATGCCTGTAACACACTTCCTCATTATACTGTGAACAGTTCAAACATAAGAACTAGGTATTATTTACCTTTGTATCTTTGGTATCTAGTAAGTGCAATACAAGTTGATTGAATTAATGACAGAATAAGTATCCAAAAACATCTTGAAAAACTAGTCCGAGTTGAAAGTAAACTGAATGCAAGCTGAAATAGAATAGGATTAAACACACCTAAGCCAAGAGTTAGCTGTACCAATTCACGTGGGGAAATCTGAATAGAATTTTATGTGAACAAGGCCTGGAAAATTTAAATATTAAGCTCAATGTGAATCAAACTGCTATATGGCTGACAAGATAGTATGGCCACATCTCTAGTTATTTATCCTTTATAGTAAATACCATTTGTAGAAATTCTGTATCTCTTCACACTATAAATTTTTGCAGAGCACATTATTGAGAGTAAACAGTTTTCGTGTGGTTTTATAATGCAGGTTTTGTATGTAAAAGCAAGGTCTTCCAAATAAAGTACAAATCATATTTGGAAGAATCATTTATTAATTTAACATTTTAAGGACGGAAACTAGATGAATCATGATCCCAATGCTCTTTTCCTAAAACACCTGATGAGGGCTTACCTGTTGAGTTCTGTTCACAGTGAAAGCAACCGCGGCCATTCTGACTCATGTCTAGTGCAAAATAACCTCTATACTTATAAAACCAGTTCTACTAGTTTGTAATAGCATTGCTCCAGAATTTAAAGCAAATATTTTTAGGACAGTCCTTTGATGCTCTTTTAAAGAATTGTGCTTAATGAGCACATTTCTAAGAACAGAGGGGGAAAAAAATCTGATTATTAAACAATTGCCTCTCACTTTTACCTAATAAACTTGTGCTTGCAATATTTTGCTCCAACATTCAGATCAATGTCTAATCTTGCCAAACTCCAAATAAAGACCAATATTTATAAATAACATCTGACTTGACTTTTAGCCACAAGTGTTATTAATATTAATAGCTAATATTTATTGAACATTGACAATATTTCAGTAATTATTCCAAGCATGTAAAGAGAAAAAAATCCTATGAGATAGGAGTGTTTTATTATCCTTTTCATGTGAGAAAACTGAAGCACCAAGAGGTTAAGTAACTTGTCTAAGGTCTCACAGTAAGTAAGCAGTTAAACTCAGAAATGAACCCAGGGAGCCTGGGCATCAAGCCTTATTTGTAAGCACTCAGTTTTAGGAGAATATCTTGATAACTGAGGAGTATTTTAACAGGAAATTTAAAAAATACAATTAACATGGCATTTCAGGCAAAAGTAGTTTTTTAGGTCTATATCATAATTCTCCACTTTCATGTACATGTTTAGATTTTCCTTACACATGTATAAAGAGAAAATAAACTTTTGATAGGGAGAAAATTGGTGGCAGTGTCTTAGTTTGGAAACCACTTGCAGGCACTAGTAGAATCAAGATAAAGATCCCTTGGTTTAAAATAAATTCAAATGTTGTTTGAAGGCAAAATGACTTTGGAGCTATACAAAAAGAGTTTGCTCTGAAATAGTTATTACCAGAAACGGCAAACAAAAGGGGCAGCTTTCTTATAGAGAATGACTGGCTTGTTACCAAAGCTTGAAGAAAATATTTGTTTTACTGGGTTATTGTGAAGTAATGGTTGCATATAGATCAGCCAAGCATTTCTGTCTAAGAAGGCATTTTCCGGGAGAGATCCCTAAACTCCTCTGGCCTAGAAGCTCCTGAAGGGTGAGCATTAAATTGGCCTTTGATCCAGGAAAATAAATCCTGCTCTAACATAATATGTGCTTGAAAGTTTTTAAGGCCTTGTATTCCCTTGAAGTCCCTCAAAACCATTTCTGATTAAATTGCCTGAATCAATATACTTATTTAGATACACCCTCAGTTACAAAACCAATTTCAATTAAGCAAGAAATTATCAACATATCAGGTAGTGGGATCAATATTAGATTACCGCATGAACCTATGAGCAACTTTATAAGGTCTAAGTTTAAAAAAAACATGGTACATATACATATATCCATACAAAAAATTTTCATACCTTCAACTTGGAAAGACATCTTATTCTATGGATTTCAGTTTTCTCAGTTTCTCCCATGTTGCTCTTCTGAATAGTCCAAATATTTATGATTTAAATCTTGATATTTCTTAGTTCTATCATTTTAAGAAGATAAAAATCTATTAAATTACTGACAAAAATCCTAAATCCTCATTGTTTTGAAGAAAATACTGAATCTGAATAACATAATCAGAATCCATTCTATTACAAAAATACCTGAAAGGCTTTTGATTCAGATCTAGAAAACAATGACATTAAAGAAGATTTAGTTGTTAATTTTCCATTGAAAAGGTTACATTGAACAACTTTAGTTACTCTTTAGAGAGATTAAAGGTATTAGAATGACTTGTTATGTTCTCCTTGCAAAATAATGATCATGTGGTTAAAATAAAACTTTTCATTTCTTTCGCCAAAACAAATAGGACCAAAGTTAACTTCTTGGACTTACATCAAAATAATGCTTTTAAGAATACACAGACTTTGATTAGTGTTTGTGCTAAAAATCTGCTTCAGCAAGCCTACCAAAGTTCAAAAATCTCTGTTTGGCTAGGCTCCCTCTTCAAGTTCTTTGCGTTCCAAGACTTCCCTGGAGTTTCAAGAAGGGAAACACTTTCTGGGGCACTGCTGATTCACAGAAACCTGGGGAGACATGGAATTTTAATTATGGAAATAGCCTAAGTAAAAATAACAAAGAATTCTATGATCTGGCAAAGAATCCTACAGTTAGTTGCAGGTTAAGATTTGAGGTTCAGGAGAAGACCAAACATGTAAGTGCAGATCTATATGTCTATATATGTAACAAATATATGTATGTGTATGTGTGTGTGTGTGTGTGTGTATTTTGCATATTTTTATGTGTAAAACAAAAAGATTATTTGAGCTATTAAATTCTATTAACCTTTTTTCAAAGTTTTGTCATTTTTGTGTCTTGCAACCAGGGCATTATTTTGTACCAAAACCAAAGTGTTTCACTGCGACAATATTTATTCTAGTAAATCTACTTCAGGTTGCAAGAATGATATATTAACAGCATCCCCAGTGTTAATTTATTCAAATCCTCTGAACAATATCCATTTAACAAGTGATCCTGAATGCACTAATTTTTAAAAATCGAACTGCTTTCCGTCTGTAAATTGGCTGAATCCCATTCCCTTCCATTAAGGCAATGGCCACTAAACAATACCCGAGCTTAAAGTTGTCTTTACTCGTGCTCTCATTGTTCCAACTATATACCAGAAGTCAACTATGTGCCTGTCATTGTGCTAAGCATAGGATTTCAGAAGTGAACAAGACACACAGGCTGTCCTACAGACAATATAAACTGGTTAGGGAAGTGTAAGGCTCAGTGTAAAGTGCTTGAACCCAGATCCCAAGGAATCTATGTTTGTTTGTTTTTTGAGAAAGGTAAAACTTTTAAATAAAACACATTGGAAAAGAACTAGACAGTGTATGATCACATACAAATTGTTTGGTATGTAAGAGGTGAAAAAATTCATAGGTCATAGATGAAAATTATTAGAGACACTTTTGGCAATTCTAAGTGACCAGATGAACTCATGCTGCACTCTCCCCATAAAATGATAAATCACCTTAACTATAGTGCAACTGCAAGGCACTAATTTTGGAAAAAACTGATTAAATAGGATGATTTTTCAAAAGAATGGGAACTGCTGTTATTTGGTCCTCAACTGAAATACATCCACTTTTATTATAAACCTCTCAACTGCCCTCATACCTTCCTTTTCATGATTTAGAACCCAGTCTCGCTCCCCTTTCATTTTTCTTTCTATCCATCTTTGCCAATGTCTGAGCTCAACATAGTCACCCAATCAAACAATAAAAGAGAGAGAGAACTCATTCCTTTTCCATGTAAAAGTTGTCTTTACTCTTTTTAGTTAATAAAAACATGACTTTTCTAAATGCCTATTTTTCCTATCTGACCAAGAGACATAGAAGGTGGAGTTAGTGACACAAGAAATCACCACATAGAATTCTGTAGTTCCTTCCATGCGTTATATTACACTATGTAACCATTCTGAGCATATTTTATCACCATGCCTCAAAGATTCGTTTCAAAATCTGTTTACTCTTTTGAAGGAAGTTTTAGAAATAATTGTCTTGACTGGGGTAAGAGGTAGTGTTTAAAACTAAGCACTTGGAATGAAATATATGTGACTCAATGAACACTAAATTTTCCTTAATTTGCCAACTTATACAGTTGAAAACGTTTCAGCTTTTCAGAAACACGTCTTAAATTTTAAGGGAGGAAAATAAATAAATTAATGAATACAATCTATCATTTACTTAATAAAACTCATGAAATAGTTAATGTCACAATCCCTGAGTATCTTGGCCTCAAATCAGGGAATGCACTCATTGTTTCTTCGTATCCTTGGCTGGGCAAGTGCCAGCCATGTGAACAGTCCCCTTTTGTTAGCAGCGTTGTTTACATGGTGACTTTTGCTCTTGGGACCACAGCATTACAGATAAATCCTCCTCAGTCATCACTGCTAATGAAAATGACTCGCTGAAGTTTTATCAAGAGGGGAATCATTTTATTTCTCTACTCCCTCTCAGCATTCAAAGGGAAGCAAATGATCCTTCAGTATGCATTCTCACAAAAATGCATTGTTTCTTCTGTGTCTACTGGTCACAACGCTGAGGTTTTTGTTTTGTTTTTAATTGTAATAAAAGGACATTACAGAATTGTTAACTATAGCAGGACACTAGAATTTTTTCATCTTGCATGACTGGAACTCTATTACTTACTGAACAGCAACAGTTGGGTTTTTGACACCCTTTGGTTGTCAGCCTTAATGACATGTCTCAATCACAAAAGAATACAATTTTTTACAAAACAAACTATCTTGTTTGTGCTCTTTCCCCAGTGTTAAGTATATAGACATCATTTTTTATTGCTATAAATCATCTGGAGAAAATGCATACATTTAATTTTACACTATACTATTGAATTAACAAAATAAAGGCTTTACTTTATCATGCAAAACTAGTAGTACATACATGAAGAAGACTTAGGAGAACATCCTTTCCCTGGTAAAAAAAGAGAGGGTCATACCAGCAACAATCTCATGAAAATTGTTTATTTCAAGAAGCTTCAAATGACTCCTAGCTCTGCAAGAAAAGAACAGCCTCTTGGCAGTATCCAGCTGAAATTTCAACCAATACCAAACTAAGCAAGTATGTGCCAATGAAGCACATGTAGAACCAACAATGACTTTTTGTGTGGTGCCTACTAAATTATTTTACTTCTGTTCATTTTCATCAGAAATCAAAGGCTAAGATATTGGATTCTGCAAATAAGCCTGACAAATATAGGTATTATTTTACTTCTTACATTCTGGGGAGGTACCAGGAATGCATTGCTCTAGACAAAACTAGAGGAGAAACTTCACTGAGGCATAGAACCATATATATAATTTCACCATGCAAAACGAAGAATGAAATTCACAACAACACAAACAAAAACTATCATCAGCAATCCAGCAATAAAAATACATATCCTGTTACTTTGGATAATGTACTTTGCAACTCTGGTAATAGACCAAGACATGGAAAAGCCAAGCAGAAATTTGACTTCCCAAGTCTTTGGAGAACTGGTTGTGAATATCATCAGTGTTACAGCCCAGGCCAAGTAATGCTAGAGAATCCTTAGATTATGGGAGTAGCCAACATTTTCCACACTGGCAATTTAAACTGTTTTAATTCTTCAAATTATCATACCAATTCTTCTCTTCCTTATGCTGTACACACATAGTTCTAAATACAAAGCATGTTTCTTCCTTTATTTATAGCAGGTAAATACTGAACTGTTCTTTGTTCTCATAGAGAGAGGAGTTTTCATCTGTTTGTAACATGCCCAAAATAACAAAAAATCCAATAAAATATTTAGATTTTTTCCCCCAACCCATTTATTTATGTATTTGTTCATTCTCATTAATGGACATACAGAGGCAGCTAGATGTAATCAAACTGTCAGACCTTGAAGCCCAGTCAGCTTGGATTTAGTCCTAGTTTAGTTGTGAGTTCTTTAAGCTCTTTGAGCCTTTTAATTTTTATTTTTTTTACTTGTCTATGGTGTTGGGATATTTATGCCTATCTTGCAAGATTTGTATGAAGATTGAGTTATAAAATTTACATAAGACCGACTCCTAGCATAACTGCTGAAATGAAAGAGCCACTCTGTAAATGGCAGTGATTATTATTCATTCATTCCACAAATATTTATTAAGGCTCTGCTACATTCCAAGCACAGTAGTTGGTGCTAGGGATACAAAGATGAATAACATATGTGCTTGCACACAAGTGGTCTCAGAAGCTATCAGAAGAGATAGACAATTAAATAATAATAATAGCTAGTTAGTGTCATAGTGCAGACAATTTGAGCTAAGTAATAGGAAAAGATAATTAATGAAAACTATTTAGTTGGATATTCATTTGAAATATCATTTGGATACAGCACAGTAGTTTAAGTACTTGGGCTTTAAAAGGAGACACGGCTGGTTTGAAGGCCTGTTTTTAAACCAGTTGTGCGATTTTGTACAAATCATGTATACAATAAGGATAGTTTCCATCTTTATATCAGACAAGAAAATAGAAAAAAAAATAACAAAACAGGAAAACAGAACCCATGACAGGTGGTTCAAGAGAGGAATTTAACATATGAAAATAGTTACAAAATTATTAGAGGAATTGAAAAGCCAAAATGAGCAAATGGTGGACAACCCAGAGATTTACACCAGTGGGAAATCACTCCCACTCCTAAGGTTGTATCAGAAAAGGAAAGGAACTGAGCTGCAGGAACTTGAACCCTTAGGACGCACAGCCACTGCCAGAGACACCACTTAAAGGTGGAGGAGGGGCGAATACCCTGGCTCTTCCCTTCTTTACAACCCCGTTCTCACACTAATGCGTCCCATTGACAACCTAACAGGAAAACAGGTGCAAGGGAGCCTGGGAAATTTCCTTTTCGAAATCAGTCCCTCAGGATAAAGTGGGGATCAGGGGACTGGGAAAAAATGCACGTGAGGCCAGACAAACAAATGACTAACACAACCATAATCAGTTGCCGTAGAGTTAAATAAGATCATAAGTGATAAATGTGTAATATGATGCTAGCACGCAATCGACATTCAGTGAAGGGTAGCTGTTTATATAATTGGGTAATATACCTTCAATCATTAATGCTCTTTTTATTCTCAGCAATAGAGGATTCAGGAGATCTAACTAGTTGCATAATTGGTCAGCTCGCAACATTACAGATGTAGACGCTGCAATCTCTAGGTTTTAACAAATAAAACATAAGATTTTGTCATCAAATCAACTGATTTTTAACTGACT